AAACTTTTTAGTTAGTAGGTACTCGATAAATATAGGTAGCATCATAGCAATGTCACACATACGTCTCTACAGTAAAAGTAGGAATTTTTCTGTAGGATGAGTAAGCAGATAAATTATGAATTTGAACAAGTTTCTGATTGTATTCATTTCATATTAAGTTCTTGTGTAATATTGTCTTCCTAACTGCATTTTTCTTTTAAATTTGTTCTTACACAAATTTTTCATTGCTTACAATATCCATACACCTTTTTTGTACGATTCACAGCGAAAATATGCTAAATACTAACACATTTACTTTCATAAGCTTATAATAAAATACTTAGCTATACAAATATTTATGTTAGGGTGGTCCCCTTAGGATGGATTAGCAGACGCCAGCTTGGGAAATACAAAATATTTAAATCATTCAGGATCGTGACCCTGCATATTGAGTAGATCCACTGAATGAAATATTTTGCTGGCTCCTGTAAATTCGTATTAAATTGATTTTACCCATAACGTAGGTACGAGTAGCTCACGACCGTCTAGCTTAGAGGAATTGTATTTATTTATTTTTAAAATATTAGATAATAGTACCTATCTTAAAGTTAGGTTTTCCAAGACACCTTTTTATCCTATAAATAAAAATAATCAAAATTCACTTAGCCGCTGCGCTATCGAGTCAATAGATTATGGACTTGCATTATTTGATATTATTCTTGGATAAAAGTATACAGTAGGCAGAAGATTGTAACAGTTGGCCCCTACAAAGGGAGAGATTAGGAAGCAGCGATTGTAACTGCTATCACTACACCGCTGATAAGAAGCGCTCGACGATAACGGCGTACAGTGCGAAATCTAATAATTATGAGCAAGTTACATGAGTAATTGAGTAGTTTTCATTTAATGTTTGCAACCACAAATTGAATTGAAGAAAGAAGTGAAATAAAAAAAATACAATATTGTGAAAATTCGGTAGTAATGTAATAATTAAATTATTGAGTCGTTATAAATTGTTTTAAACTTTTCAGTCCATTCGTCATGAAATGAAAATTAAGACTTCCAAATAATACTCGTACGCTCCGGTACCTATATTATTAATTATGTCACTAAAAGCCACAATAAAGACCATTAAAGTGATTCTATACATATATTATTAACAAAACAATGAAGATACGAACAAAGAAACCCGTTGCACAATGAACGAGTACACTTATCATAATTTGAAAAAGCTACGTAATATACTCACGTCCGAAATACCGCAGTGTCTCAAGACAAAAGTCTTCGAGCAGTGTGTGCTGCCAGTGTTGATTTATGGATCCGAAACGTGGACGCTTACTATGGGCCTCATAAGAAGGCTCAAGGTCACCCAAAGGGCGATGGAGCGGGCCATGCTTGGAGTTTCCCTGCGTGATCGAATCAGAAATGAGGAGATCCGCAGGAGAACCAAAGTGACCGACATAGCTCGCAGAATTGCTAAAACCAAGTGGCAGTGGGCGGGGCACATAGCTCGTAGAGACGATGGCCGTTGGGGCAGAAAAGTTCTCGAGTGGCGACCACGGGCTGGAAGACGTAGCGTGGGCAGGCCTCCTACTAGGTGGACCGACGATCTCGTAAAGGTCGCGGGAAGAGCCTGGATGCGGGCAGCGCAGGACCGTGCATTGTGGAAAGCCTTGGAGGAGGCCTTTGTCCAGCAGTGGACGTCATATGGCTGAAACGAACGAACGAACGATGTTGTATTTTAGATTTATCTTTTAGTGTCGCAAGAAGTGCTTTTTTGGTTACCAAATCCATTTGACATTCATTGAGACACACCTTTTGCGGAATAAGTCCTAGTTTAAAAATATTTCTGAATAATTATGCATACCTACATTCCTTGATGAAACAAATGATTAAAGTTGCCCCAATGCCCCAATATACCTATTGGGATGATCACTCGAGCGCGGCTCCCCCTAGGGCGGCTATAATATAGGGGGCGCTGTTTAATTTTTCATACAAAATTTTTCGATGACACTTTGAATACGCAACGAAACGAACTCGAAAGTTTTTCCTACTAGAGGTACAGAAAATAAATTCATGAAAATATAATATAATTAAATATCAAGTAAGTACGAATAAAGAAATACACAAGGTGTAACTGAAATAGTTTTAGTCTTCTGTACATTATAAGCTCTTAAAGTACTTACTGCAATCTTAGAAGCATAAGTAAATAAAAGATTTTATTCATCTAAGATTTATCATTTATTTATGACCTAATTCATTTCAACGTGCGGAACTGCGGACTGCCTGTCAATGCCATTGCATTATTTATTGCATAACTTTTAAAATCATGTTTTGCTGACCATTATTAACCTGATAGCTGCTAACGAGCAATTTGTTTATTGACTCATCATAACCCAGTTGCTCGTTTTAGGACGCTTGTGCATTACATTGTCGCGGTGTCAAATATTTTTTGAGGTCGCAATTTAATTTGGAACTTGCCTTTTTTCATGGGTCTACACATGTAGAATTTGGTTCATGTATCTCTAAAAAATCGTATGTATAATACCTATCTAATTTTTTTCACAATCTTCTCGCGAGCTTCATTCGCATCACAAAAAAACGTGAATTACTTACATGTTCTGTTCATTGAAGTTGGTCGACAACCATTTACCCAGTAGGTACTCGTATAATTCATCTCATCAGAATACTTCAGTAATCATCACTGCAACCTGACTTACTTGACTTATGGTCCTATGTCCCCTAGATGGGGCAGAGGGCGTCCACAACAGTCCTCCATCTCGTTCGGTCTTGAGCTTCTCGCTTGATCTCGCTCCAGGTCACTGTAACCTAATATTATGTTTATCTCCACAGATGGCAACATCATACATTAATTTTATTAGGTTTTTTTGTCCAGCTAGCAGGTACAGGTTCACCTTTCTGAAAACCTGCGAAAGTCTACGTTTCGTGAGTAGTGTTCTAAGTTTCTTAATAAGTAAAAATAGGTTGACAGTGACTTCACCGGTTCTCCGCTTAACCTGTGAGATCAGACAATGTTATTTTAGCGTTTTGTTTTGTGTACATATTTTTATATTAATAAAAAATAAAATGTCTTTTATTACCCCCTTTCCTTGTCAGTGTATCAAAGAAATCAATTATTTCCAACCATCAGAAATTATTGAGATATTATTGGGATAAAAATTAAGGCTGGTGCGCTTGCGCATGAGTCATAGAACAACGCAGTTTCCTCTTTTGGAATCTTTAAATAACATAGAGATGGAAACTTGTTTTTTTGCTAATTCAAAAATAATTCAACCTTGACTGATTGATATTTTTCCGTTATTCTAAGAATGGATAAACATAAGTACACACACGTACGAGTATACTATGTACACGTGTACTTTGTGCGTAACTTTTATACGTAAGCAGATTTATTGCATATGCAGGTTATTCTTAATGAGACTGACTAGAATCACTCCTCGATAACAATTACTAAATTGAGATTTTATAAGAAGTATTTTTATATGGATGCCACAGGGTTTATTATACCCTGATGGAGTGACAGAAACGTACCTTTAGATTGATATACCTAAAAGTACCTACACTGAAATCTCCTGAAAGTATTGAATGGCAATAAATCTATTTCAACAGTGTTTTCGGGCGACACATTATCAGCTGTCTAGCGAAGGGTACATTACTATCTATTCGCCGTGCCCGGTCACCTCTGCCAATAGATACGTTGCACCTTGCCATTCGAATGTGACCTTTATGTCTAGTACGATAAGATTACAAAGGGCTATAACCTCGCCGCTTCGTGGGTGTGTGATTTTATTGTGATACCAGATAGTCACTTTATTCTAAAGACATTGATATATACAGAGATTTTCACTTATGAAACTGAAGAAAATTGAACTTTGTCTCCTTGATGTTACAGTAACTTTTCATCTTATAGTTTTATTGTAAAATGAAAAGGTTCTAATTAAGTTTTCTGAGCTATCAAAATCCTAACATAACTTTTGGATGACTTATCATTAGAATAATGTACACGCATTTAATACGAGGAAGAAAATAAGGATATGGATAGGGAAAACAGACATTGTGGCTTACCTATCCTATTACTGACGTATTTAATTCGAATATGTGACAACTGTTATCACTACTCGCTGATTGTGCCTACCTTTTGCATTTAGTGTGAGTTAATGACTGTTCTTTATTGGTTCTTGAAATGCTTAATGTAACACACAATACGACATTCAATTGTTTTATTTATGAAGACTGCGTTAAGACAGTAAATAAAAAATAAAAGTTGGCTGCTATGTTACCTAAATTGGGTTTAACTAATTACGATTAAAAACAAAATGGGGGGTTGAAATGTAACTCTCTAATACTACTTAAAACTTAATTTAACAACCGCTAAATTCCTTTAATGCCACATGAGTTATCGTTAACAAGCATCGTCATTAACAATGCCACTTGGCAATTAACGCGTTAAATCGCTTTGAAAGGTGCTGACAGCTTAAAAGATTTTCTCGGCTGTAATGATGAATTAAAATAATAATCATTTAATGAAATATACTCCAGATGGTCTACCAATCAAGTCGGTTCACGCACAAATGTATGATTTTTCGTGAATAGATGTACAGTATGGTCACAGCAGGATAACTTCAATCATTATAGTTTGTATGATTTGGCACGGTTTAATGAATAACCATTCATTATAGAGGTCTACTATGTAATTAATTAACCGTAAGTCAATGTAGAGAATTGATATTTGACCCCATTGGGAATCGAAATGGAACCCATTGCGATCAGAAAAGTTCTGTGGACATTAAGACTTTTGACCTTTAATTTTTTATATTGTGATTGTAATATAACCATTGATGTCTTATCTTGTCATCGCTCTACTAAAGATTGACAAATTGTGTCGATAACGTATCACTACGATTTAACAACAAAGGAATACAAATAAATGCGCATCGTATTTGAAGAATCATTTACTTATTTCCCATTGTTTTTGGGTAGGATAAATTTAAAATTACTCACACTAAAATACCACAAGATAAGCATTCTCTGAATATACTTATTATTATCATAACTATTCTGACCACAATTTAATTTTAATGGTATTCATGATCAATAATCATATTTAATTTTGTCTCATTCATATCAAATCAGGTTGATTAAAAAACCGATCATGACTAATGGTGACTAACCCCCAAACATTATTGTCACCATGAGGGGAATCTCAGCCAGAGTAGGTACTATGGTTTTGATATAAAGTAGGTACATTACATATGCTATTACCTAATGAATGTGTCGTTAGATCAAAACAATATGATAGAGTATACCTTTGAGTGCATTGAATGAGTCATTCCAATTTTATTGTTGAGTCAATTTGCGAAATCTTGGAATATAAGTATTTTAATGTGCCCAGGGACTAACTGCTTTGACGAAGGATGCTGACATAAATAATAATAATTTTACATACCAAAACAGTATATAGAGTAACAAGTGAGCATTACTCGCTTGTTAATGAAGAATTAGTAATGTCAATAACAAACTACCTATATGAAGCGAATGAATGCAACAAAGACAATGCACTCGCTGAACGTAAGCTGCTCTAATTTACTGGCTCACATAATTATAAATATTACAACGCGATGTAATCACACAATATGCCGTGATTGATGGTGAATAAAATGGTTCATTTGAAAATCTAATTGATATATTTCAGAGGGTAGAGATCCCGATGCAAAGAGCCTGTTGAATTTGTTTCTAATAAAGAAAGCCCAACTGGGACCGATTATTATCATATTATTCAATTAATTGAAACAAACAATGACTCACGTCCACCTTCGGGCGTTGGTAAAACATATATCTCAGCAGCTACATGGGTGACGTAAACATCATTGGCGACTCTATATACGGCTCAGTTATCCAGATTGCCTTTTCGGTCTCAGCAGTCGAGCTGACAAAGGAAGGATCTAGATAATTAGCCGGTGACAAGAATAGACGTCGCGGCCGGGCCCTGGGCCAGCTGACGTCAGCGCGCCAGGGCCGGCGGCGGGGCAAGACGGGCCCCGCGGCAGTGCCGCGCGCGCCGTCCGCCCGGCCGCACGCTGCCCGCTCCGCCGCACCCGCTGCCACCAGCCCGCCTCTCCGGCTCCGAGCCTCCGCAGTCCGCACCCGGCCACCGTCGCCCACTCGCCTGACCTCACCAGCCACCGCCAGACTCCAGCCGCGACACGTAAGTACACCCCATCTATCCCACGCATCGCAGACGCACGTCATCTATTGTCTAACTGCAGCGCGCATGCACCGCGGGAACGATGCAGATTTCACTTCGCGCACCGGGGGATTCCCGATTGCGGACGTCATTGCTGTTTTCTAGCGCAAGCAGTTTTCTAATTTTAGACCGATCTCTCCCTAGGCCCTACGTTTCTTGTTCCGAGGCAACCTTGGCGCATCGTGCAATGCAGCGGGACCTTGCAAGTCACGCGTCAGAGTAACCTCGACTCACGCCGTACTCGCGCTCGCACCACGATATCTCGGTCGCGGCGCTGTTGCGACACAAATGTCATGAGCGAGTTCCATTTGCTTCTCGGTATTTAGCTGCCCACTTGCTCAGGCTAACTAAGGCCGACATGTATACCGCTGAGAATAAAATTAACAAATATACATCGTATCTTAGTACGAAAACTTGTTGATAGACACTCTTTAGAACGAACATAAACAGCTGACCACTGACGACATTAATTCTTTTTTGACTGATAAAAAATATGACGCGGTCACTCAAGGACGGGTGATCATTTAATTTTAATATACGCAATAAATTATTAACTTGTTATTGTTAAACTTTTATGACGTATTAAAACAATTAATGCTCTAAGAATAATTAACATAATATTACGGCAATTAAGGAACTTGTATGAGATTATTTGTTAATAAGGTCAAGACCGGATAAGTGTCACAAAGGTAATGAACACTCATTAATGCACTCTACGTGAGTCTACGGGCTATGATATAAAGGTTATTTTGCTTTGTCTTATCTTTTGAGGAAACCCACTGCTTCGAAAATAGTCAGTGCTATTTTTATAAAGATCTTTGTTGTATGTACGCGTACCGTTCGGTGCAAGGGACTTCACAATCCACTAACTACACGTGTCGTTCTTTACACATTACTAGGCACGAGCAACAAATGGCAATAACTTAAAAAGTAATCAATTGTTCTGGCTCTTATTTCGCTTGTGATAAAGTCTGTAATCTAATGTTGCGCTGAAACTGAGATCGGCCGAGTACTGTGCTGTAGGGGCCTCGCGCCGTTTACCGAGATATCATGTTGGAAAAACACGCCATATTTTATCGCCTGTTGTTCGCTATCAACCGCTTTGCGGTGTACTGAACACGTCATAATATGCCCGACATATTATACCCAGCAATAAAAAATGTCGCATTTGTCGAGAAAATATCGAAGTGAAAACAAGACGGGACATGCGGCGCGAGAGAGATGAAATTGAAAGTGACGTTTCAACCTGGACCACTTTTGGTCTCGCACCGAACTCGTGCAACGGCTTCTGGCTATAATATTATCTTTAACCCAGTTAAATTCGATTAAGGTGATGTCTATTCGTTGCAATGCATGCAGATATTGCAATATTTTTCATTCCAATGACCACTTTTGAATTTAGGTTTTTAAGAGTAATAATAGTGAAGAAAAATATCAGTCATTATTCCACGTTCATAAATATACAATTTAGTTTTAAATTACAATATACTTTTTAAAAATATGTAAAGCAATTAAACACTATCTCTGAATCTAATCGATTTATTGATTGACGAATATATAGATATTTAGAGGAAAAGTAACTCGGTAAATACAGGAACGTTGAAGATTACCGACAAATAGCTTTAAATATTTATAAAGCCGGAGTATTGCAGTAACCTCTAGCGCGTCTCTAGACATGTTTTTTCACCTCGGGACGGCATTGATCGTGGTCCACCAAACCGGTAGGTTGCGCTGCGGTTACCCTTCGCCGAACATTCGAACTGCTACTTCACTTACCATATTCAAATAAACACATCGGTTCAACCCATAAAGAATACCCAGTTTTTCTGTTGCGTGTAAGTTTATAAATAACGAAAAAAAACTTAAAGTTTTTGTTATTTCGTTTTGTTAAGTTTACAAACTGACATTGACCTAAAAAGATCCTATAGGAGGTCAAAGTCAAGTCAATAATAAGTTTTTATTATGTTTTCAGACAAAATGGTTCGCAGATACGAAAGGATGAGCGGCCGTCAATCCTGGAGCGAAGAAGACATGGCGAAAGCCGTCGCTGCCGTGGTCTCCGGCAAGATGGGCTACAAGCTCGCCGCCAGGACCTTCCACATCCCGCGCTCCACGCTGCAGCGCCGCGCCAGCAAGGTGCGCTACCAGCAGCCCGACGACCCCAAGCCCCTCATGGGCCACTACAGGCGCGTCTTCACAGACAGCCAGGAGAAAGACCTAGTCGGATACATAAAAAGCATGGAGAAATACTTCATGGGCGTCTCCAGACGCGACATCAGGGAACTAGCCTTCCAGTACGCCGAGGATAACCAACTGAACCATCCCTTCGACGTCAACAGCAGAATGGCCGGCGAGGACTGGGTAAGGAACTTCCTAAAGAGAAACCCCGAACTCCTGGACAAGCCAGACAAGGACTCGGAGTTGGAACCGGTGAACTTTGATCAATTTTATCACTTCATGGTTCAGTTCTCATGATGCCCGACGTAACGACTCGGGGGGCGCCAGGTCAAGTACGGGGCCGAGAGAGCCTCGCGTCGCTTGGGGCCAATCTATTAGTGTTTCTGACTGACTTCGCCGCTAGTAACGTCAAACGGGAGACTGAATAACTTTACTGTAGCCAATGTATTCATGCCTTACGAGGATATCTAAGAGACTCACAGACAAACAATATTAAACAACACTAGTGGATTGGTATTTACTATTAAGATAGAAAAATAAGATTTTCAAAATATTTTAACTTAATAATATATTCAAAAGATATTTGATTTATAACTGTATTTATGGTAGAGCAAAGCTCAAATTCGTTGTTACTTTAAATGTTTTTATTCCGTTTTATTTAAATGCGATTAATTTGTATACACTACGTACTTACTTAGCTACCAATTGCTGATACATAGTTATCATCTATTTATAGTCTAAATTCTGTTGTTTAATGGTAAAGTGACTTGTTGAATCGAGGGCTGTGATAAAGAGAAGGCGTATATTTTATTGAGCATATCATTATTGAGGTAATGCTATAAAACAAAACGATGATAATTGTAGGACACTGATACGTAGCACAAATTTATAGTAGGTATCCTAGTTGCAATTTATTTTGTGGTATTATACATGTTACGAATATATTGTCACATTTTGCAAGCGCAATACTAAGATTTTTGGGCACACATTAGCTTTTTATAATTAGTCAAATATTTAAATAACCAAGTTACTATGAAAATTAACATTTTACAACAATATTACAGTGCTATTTTAATGGGTTAGAAACAAGAAAATAATACTTTGACTCTACTTGCGCAAGGCCGAATTTGTCTTTGGATAAACCTTGACAAATAGTAACTTGTTTCAGCTGTAGTAGGTAATATTTAAATTATTCAGGTTTTTGCTTTCAGGAACTAAAATGTTCCGTTTTTCACCAATGGCTTCATTCAAAATTATTTTAAAAAAGAACACAAGAGTTATTTAATTATATTTTCTAAAAAGAACACGAAACAAATACTTGAACAGATTTATTTTCAGTAAAGTAAGCAATATTAGTTTTCAATAAATCGAAACTCTACTTCAACCAAAACCTGTTGAGACCTAGCGTTTTACGAACTTTTCAAGTTAAAGTATGTCAGTCGATTAGTGGTGTCAAGCACTACTCAGTTCCAGCAGTTGAAGTGTTGTGACTTAGCAATACCTAGTTTTTAGCGGTTAATTCATAACCGGGGTGTTTAAAGTGCAATTAATTTAGTTTTTCAGAAGAAGCTGTGCCAGCATTCTATCTTTCTTCACTGAATCACGTAATAGGTTTCTGACAGTACACGTTTGGTGAAACAATGACGTCATTACTATACAAAATCTATGACGCAATTTGACAGCTCATAAAAAGTGCGTCAATGGATTGATGATGCGAACTAATGCATACGTACATCTTTTATTGCTATTGATTCTTATTAGCATCACGGAATGACGAAACAAACACAGAGATGTGAATGAAAACAATTTTGCGATCATGGTTTTGCGATGGACGAGTTTTGTGCAGCTTAAATTTTTGTTAGAGAATTATGCGCTTTTCCTGTAGAGTTTCTAGTGATAGCCATATTGCTAAACCAACGACTAAGTACGAAATTTAAGATTGGATTCTTTCCTTAGTAAACAATAGTGGGTTGGTTGTTGATGGTAGATGTAGGTATATCTATTAATAGTGTCAAAGTGTCAATGTTACATTATTTTTATAATTCCCTCCCTTGGTACATACTTTGTCTTATTGTGATATGGTAATGGTGATTGGTGATATTAGAAGGGAAAGGTTTATTCTTATAAACAGTTACGAATTCAAGCTAGAGTATACGAGCGACGAAATTTTATTTAAATTGTTGATGTGTATCAGTTTATTTTAAAGTCAACTGTAACAGTAACTGTGGTAAAGTCGAGAGCACATAGGACTCTACAGCACAATCACTTAAAAATTGTGTATTTTGATAGTCGTTCTTCGAATAATTTGTCATTGAAAGTATTTTTTCATTCAATACGTTAATATTCTGTCTTAATAAAAAGGAATTGATAAATAGAATTTTGATAATTTGAATGTAATTTGTCACATCAAGCTTCTTACGCAATTGAAATATTTAGGTGCTTACTCTGTAACAAAAATGTATATAAATAATATGATGTTCTTTGGACTATACTCGTTTTTTCGTAACATACTATAATCAGGTTTTGTTTCTTTGAATAATATTACTGCTAAGGGTGTCTAAAGTTTTTATAAAAAATCATATTTTTACATGGTCAGGAATAGAAATGTTGGTATTTATAATTATTGTAACAATGACGAAACATAAATCGTATCCAAAAGTGTGGAATATTTGTCGTTACCTGAGTTAATTTTTGATCTCTTATTTTAGTAAATCAAAAGTAGGTAGATATATGATAATATTTATTAACTGTTTGAATTATTGTTAGTAATCGTTGGTCTTAAGATATTTTGAAACGTGGAAAGTGGTATGCCAAACATTGTTGATTTTTATTTGAGATTTATGATTCCCTCCTAACTAACAAAATATTAAGTCAAATATGTTAATTTATAAACAATACTTTATGCAACTTATGCTGAACAAAAGCCATTGTTCCGAGTTTATATTTAGAACACGAATATTGTCAAATATAACACTTTACTATGCAAATATTATTTTATATTTTTTTAGATAGGAGGTAATTTGCAAACATCATTATTATAAGTAAGTACTTAAAATAAGTTTTATGGATTAAATAAAAATTAAACAAAACGTTACTGAGAACTTTTATTTATGAAATAGTTTCCCTCAAAAAATTACTTAGAAAGTCTTTCTGTAGGCATAGTGACGATATTTTATGTGTAATAAATACATTTCGGAAAGATTTTTTAATTAATGATGATGAACATCCTAATTATTAATTGAGTAGGTGCCAATTATTTTTGAACTCCAATCTCTAATATTCTTAATTAATCTCGCATATTTTATCAGTCAACATAACGAGTACCATATGCCAGTTTAAGATAGTTTTGGAGAGTTTTTAACACCTGCTGGAAGCATGGCCTTTCTCACATTTCCCATAGACAAGTCTGCTAAAACGCATGAAACTGGGAGCATCATAATGTTCGTTATCTTACTGCCTTGTTCTTTAATGAGGTCTAAATCCACGAGTATGTACCTACTTATTTTTTTGTCCGAGAGAGTGCTCAGATGGGTCCGCAGCATTTGTCATTGTTCTCTGCGAGGTAGAGTGGCAATATGCGGACTTTATACTAAACCTATGTATATTTTAGTAATATTTAACAATTAAATGAGATAAAAGCAATGTAGTTAGATTACGCCTACCTATATCAAATAGATGGGAGTATACTCGGCTCATTAACGGTAACGGAAAAACCATATTAAAGGACTTATGTACAAGAAGACATAAAAAGCTAGAAGACAGACAAAGACAGGATGACAGAACAATGTACATACATTTTAAAAAAAACTTAAAGGTTGATCGGTTGATCCGTGACACGTTGTAAGTAATATTTTTTCTCAATACTTTTCTAACGTAAGCTTTGACGAGCGTATAAAGAAATCAGGCTGAATAATATGTGAATAACCTTTCTAATTGGATAAAATGTGATTATTTTATTTTACCTAAAACTTATTATTTAAGATATCAATATGTTTTGTAATGATAAAATATAGATAGATGTCACTTCTGGAGTAAAGAGAATATTCCAAGCCATTGTTATTCTGACCGTGATAGAAAAACATATACAGAACAGCAGAAAATGATAAATTACCTACATGAAAGAAGAAATCTATCTTTCCCTCTTAAAGCACACTTTATATAGGTAAGGGTTTTGTTATTATCCAGTATCCATAGGTATTATAGCACGTAAAATTCGCCAGCTGCGCTCGCGGCATTTGTCACTGTCTAGCGGCAGGCAGGTAAAATAGTGGTCATAGGTTGAATTATCTTTTAAAAGGTAGCCTTTTTATATCTTCCTCAAGTGAATCTCCGATCTTTCGAGAGACCTCCGACACATACATAACTACTATTTTAATTCTCGAAGATAACTACGTACAACACAAGTACTTAGTAGTTAGTTACGATAATAGATTTCAATCCAAAGGATTACTTTCAGACCTTAAAGTCTACACAGCAAGAAGATAAGACACAGAATTTTTTAATTATTTTTAGAATAATATAAAATTTTATTATTCTAAAAATAATAAAATTTTATAATTTAAGGCGCACTGGAACTGAATCGAATCAACTTTGTTGTAAAAGGTTAGTCCATTCGAGATACTATAACGCATAAATATCATTGGAGCTCCAACGAACACTAAAATTTCGAAGACAAATTAAAAAAAATCGGCTTTAAAGGAAAAGTTTTTGCTCACTCACCCTGTGCACTTTGTGCAGGAGCAGGCTGTATGATATTCCCTTTCACGGTAAATGCGCCTTAATAAGTATTTCCTTTATAACTTTGTGCTCTTCTAAAGGAAATTGTAATTTGCTCTTTGAATTTTTCCTTGAAAAGGTTTTCTTAAATGAACGCGTAAACTTATTTCTCGGAAAGGTTTTCAAAGGAGCTAGTAATAAGTGTCTACGTGCAGCAACTGACATCCACAACATCTTTATTTTTCACGGCGAGTTCTCCGCCTAATGGTTGTCTTGAAAGGAATATTTTCTCAGAATCAAACGCCATTTTAGCTCCGCTCCGTTCGCCGCCCCTCGGTAAATTGCTTTTGAAAATACAGCAAACTGAAAATGAAATATACTATTAGCGAAGAGCCTTGTAAGAGTGCCTTGAAGTAAACTAACGTAGGTTGACTGAATTTCTCGGAATATCGGGGACGTGCCTTTCAAAGGCTTTGTTGAGTGCTGCGAGCAGGTGTAGCGAGATGTGATTTATTGTCAGGCGCGCACAAAGAGAGGCGCGAGAGCTGGCATCTTGACTTGCTATGCATGAGAGCGCAATGCTGTTTGGAAACTAATAACGATGCAGAGTGCAAGGAGTCTATTTGAAAGGGAAGCTTTTATCATGTGCAACGTACGTTATGTAGATTCTTGTTCATTTTGAATTGTATTGTTAGCGTCGTATTACTTTAGGCAGTGTGACCCTTTGGAGGCGATAATTCAATGTATTACTGTATTACTATCTTGTAGCACCATTTCTAAAGTTTTTCTAAAGTAACGTTTTAAATAAATGTATAAGAAAGTGATGTAGGTATAAAATATGTTTTATAACAAATATGTTCAAATTATTATCTAAATAAAACATTATTCTATATAGTTAATATTTTAAACTTTCATGTTGCTATCCTATTCTATTCTATTTTAAACTATTCAGAGGTTTTTCAAACATAAATCTGGAATAGCCAAATAAAAATAAAATAAACAAAGACAATCACTTAAGTAGGTATACCATTAAACGATTTTAAAGTGCTGTATAATTTCTGTATGCTGTTTAAAACTACACACTCAAACCAGTCTTTATTACAAAAGTATTAAAACGCAGCGTAAATACTGCAGCAATTTTCCAATATTTTGCTGGCTCTTTTCCACAGTGAATTCAGAAATACATTTCCAGTTTTTATTTGGTAATAGCTGAACTGAGAACGCTCGGAAGTCAATTGTATCTCATTGTGAGCTTTTCGCAAAGCATACTTCAGCTAGATGTAACATGGCGTTCAACGCCTTTTAACGATATATTTGAGTTTGGAACTGTCCTTTCGGGAGGACTTCCGCTTCGTTTTCATTGTGCTTCCTTTAGTACAACCCTTTTGCAAGTTCCAAGTGATGATGCCTATTGATAACATGCTTTTCGAAGAATTTTATTTCGAAAGTACAAATTTATGTTCGCTGCTTTGAAAAATTAGTTTCATATTATATGATGACTGAATGATGTAATCATATTTTTATGTAGCTAAATAACATAGCTACCTTATTTCAAGGGAAAAGTCGTGGACTCGAAAATCCTTTAAAAAAACTGAAATTTTATTTTCATTTTATTTATTTATTTGGTTCACCAATACATTGTTACACTAATACATTTTAGTTTATCAAATACAATTATTAGGACTAAGTGTACAACTATAAGTAGGTAAACACCACATGCATAAGTGAGTTGTTAAAGAGTGTAGGTATCTTAGTAAATTTTAATGCAACAATTAATAGTGAATATTTTTTTTATGATATGGAAAAAATAGGGATTAAATTAAGCAAACTCTAGCTGATGTATCTGACGCTTAATTTTGTGGATAGATGTGCAAAATAGGGATAGTTGGTCGCAGTATTTATTATGAAGCTTACAGAGTCTCGAAACCGGGGAATTGGAACCTAGCACGGATTTTCGGAAAGGAGGACTTAATAGGTTTATAGGTTTCCTTGGGTATCTGAAGGGAATTCTAAAATTAAATTTCGACAGCAATTCAGGACAGTCAATGTTACCGCTTAGAATTTTGTATAGAAATAGTAAATCCAGTGCGGTTCTGTTTTCTAAACTTTTGACCTTAAAGTGTTTAAGTCGTGACGCATATCCCTTAATCCTCCTGGCTACACCCGAGGAGTACGCTAGATGATATAAAAACCGTTTCTGGATGCGTTCTATTCGAAGGCTGTGAGTTGCAAAATGTGGACGCCATACAGCCTCACAATACTCAAGTATACTACGTACCAGACAGTTATAGAGTAAAATCTTGGTTTCTGCTTTTCGAAAAGATTTTGTATTCCTTATAATGAAGCCTAGAGATTTAGATGCTCTTTGGATAATTGAGTCAATGTGAGGGACAAATGTTAATTTTTTGTCAAAAGAACTCCCAAATCTCGGACGCAGTTCACTACCCTTAAACAGGAGCCATTCGTGGAGAAATACCTGAGGAAGTCAATATTTTCAAGCGAAATATCAAGTGATGGTACACCTATTATATCAACTTCTAAATTAATATGCAAAATCTTTAAATCTTTGTCCCCAAAAGAATACTTAGTTGTTTTGCTTCTATTAGTTTGTTACTCAGTTCTATTCAAATAACGAACATTTCCTGCTTCAATCTATTAGGTATAATACACTATGTATTTTCCTCCGACCGTATAGAGTTCTAAGGAACCACTATTCATTAGAGTCCCTCTCAAGCTCATGTCGTTTGCCCAAGACTTCCCGAGCAGCCGATCCAATTATATCGAGTCAAAGGCCGCTCCTGCGCTGCAGCACAACAACCAATGCTTTTATTTGCGTTACACTTTATTGAGAGCTTAGAGAGACCATGAAATTGGAAAGATGATCTAATTATCTTACTTTATTGCTGTGAGAGGAGGTGATTTGTATGAATTCTCAACGGCCCAGACATGTAGGATGTGAATAAGTACCTTAAAATACGATATCACACGACGTGTTAATCCATTAAACACATTACCACTCCTTTGCGTCGCGTAGTCGGGTAAAAAATAGGTAAGTAGGTACTTCAAAAAATAAAAAACAAGTTTTATCTACTCGTAACTTGGCCCAGGAAAATTCGTAAAATAAAACCCAATAATGTTTCAGTGATGCTGAAAAGAACAAAGGAAAATCGATTCTCTCAAGCAGTACGCAGACTCAAATGCTTTTTTATTATTGAACGTTCAGTAACGTACCTACT